GTCTCAGCGGGTGCAGCCCTCATCAGTTCATAGACCCGTCCATCTCTATAAATGTGACTGGGTCATTAAACCTCACTTCTTCAGGTAGACTAAATTGCATGACTTGTGATCACGTGTTATGGGGGAATTCAAATAAACGTTTTTATGTTGGAACCGTCTTCTTTTTATTTCAGTCAAAACCTCTTTAGCTATCAGGAGGAAGCTTTTTGTTTGCAACAGCCCTGAGATGCTTTGAATAAAATAATCACAGTAACAGTGAAAAGCTCCCTTTCTTTATACAAAATTAGGTACATATATTAAAATGTTGTCAAGTATAATCACTCAAATACATTTAAGTTGCAGTGATACATAATTTACTCAAAAGCTGCCAGAACTGGGAAGGTTTTGGTTACAGTTTTAAAATTAAATAATAGAAAGAGTTTCAGTGTTAAGAGCCTTGCTTTGTTGTTGTTCTTGTTGTTGTTATTGTGAATGTGGTGCCGGATGGTAACAATATGTTCAGCTTCACAGGGTTGAGGCATAGACTGTATGGGTTGAGGCTGATCTGTTTTTTTTTATCTAAACGTTTCCAGCTATTGACCTTTACTGTACATGAGGGCTGCGCTGTACAATCTTCACTAGGAAATGTACTCTTGTCCAAAGTCATTCCATGCACTGTCATTATCATTGTTGCCATCTTTTTACCCTTATCTCGTACGTGGTAAAAAAAATCTCAACGCATCTTGCATTTCGGGGCTGACATTTATTTCAGGGGGGTCTAGTTTTTTCTGATAACTGTGAATCAGAGAATATAATCCATCAAGATATTTCCAACGCAGACAGAATACTAAATCTAATCTATGATATAAATCAAAATCAAAGGACTATATCATTTGTCATTTGTTGCTGAAAATCTGAGTAATTCAGTGAAACAGACCGAGTAGGTGAAGCAGAACGTCTTTCTATTCTCTCCTTTTTCTGATATCCAACCATCATGGAGAGAGAAACATGAAAGAGGAGACGGAACATTATTTCTTGATACTTCTGATATACAAGCGAAATAAAACTAAGCAGCAGGATATGCTACATTTAAAAAAAATATGTTATGTTCACTCACATGATAGCTAAACAGGAGTCATGCCCACACGCCTAGCTTTGATTGAAAGCAACACGTTCACCGTGTTCCTCTAGGCTTTTTAAACATAATAAACAAATGAAGTGAAACAAATGAAACAGCTGAAGAGGAACTGGACACGACAGGTTGAGGGGAAAGTGGGGACACATAACCTAAATATCAACACAAACAACTCTTAAGGCACTGAAAACAACAATGTATATCCTGATTATAACAGCATCCACAGTCATACATAAACCTCTGATAACTATTACTCCTACAGCAAAATGACATCATGTGACAAAAGTGATTCTCCATAAACAAATCATCAATAATACTGGGGGGGACTTTAGGATTTTAGACTTTGCAGACCATTGACATGCAGAAAAACCTATATTACACACTAAACAAAAGGGAATACCCCCAAAAGCATAATAGGGCCCCTATAACAAAAAACATTGGTAGATTTAAAGTTTGCTTTCTGCTTTCATGTAATCGAATGTAAACACTGTTCTTGTAATTTAATTGTTCTTTAAAGGGCCCATGTCATGCTTTTCCGGTTATTACCTGTCCCCTTGTGTGTTATGAAGGTTTTTATGCATGTAAACTCTAACACAGAAAAGACCTGTCTGTGCTGCCCCAGAACGCCTCGTTGGAGATTTCTCTTTTTCCATTGTTTGCTTCCTGGGTTCTGTGACGTGTGAACACCAAAATCAACAACAAATGACCGGATTGGCCCAAATGGACCAATCCGTGGAGCACCTCACAAACCAGGATCCCTTGGCTAACTAACAGGGAGTCCCCATTGACTTGCATAGAGCTCCCTGAACGCTGGTAATAGACGAGTTGGGATCGGAGAAATGCTCTCCGCAGACCCATTCTCACAGCGTTATAAACCTTTTTCTTACTCAAAATCAAGCCACACTTATTATTTTTACTTCGGCTGTGAGTGTTTGTGTGTGCTCAGGATGAGTTTCGCTGTGTCTGTCTGTATCGCCGACCCAGAAACCCGTCCGCTCCTCGCAGCAGCTCGCAGCAACGAGCCTCGCAACGTCCCGACCAATCAGAGCACACTGGGCTCACAGGGAGGGGGGGGGGGGTCAGGAGCTCCAACAAGTCGTTTAGGACAGAGTGAATACCGGTGAATACACATACTATACAGAGATGCTGTGTGAGAAACCAATGTGAGTTGGAAAATTGAACAATTTAAATCTATTCTAGTAGACCTCAACAATGGAATTATGAACAGTAGAAATGGCCATGACATATGACCCAAGGAGTCACCCTAAGGTGCTGGGAGTCAGGTGGACTGAATGACACAGGAGTGTTGACCTTTGAGAATGTCAGTACAATAGGTTTGAAATCCAATCTCCCATCTCACCTCTTCATTATGGAGACATTGCCTTTTTTAAATGCTTGGAAAGTGTTTAAAAAGATCAAAATACAGAAGAGCTGTTCTGTTAGAGGCAATCTCTTGGTCAGGCAAAGTGCACTTCTGAGTAGGTCATGTTTGAATGGAAGTGCTCAGTGCTTTTCGTTGGAATTTCAGAACACAGGTTTTAATGTTTTGACCTTTACGTAACCCAATTTCAAAACTATAACTGCTTCTTATCAATATAAATGCTCTATGAAGGATCCTGGATATTGAATCATCTTGACATGGCGGAGCAGACTGTATTTTAGCTGAAAGTATCAGAGAAGGTAGACTCAAAATTGCAACCGAGTCATTATATGTGATCAATTTCGAACAGAATTACTATCCTTAAAGGTTGTTATCTTTATTTTTAGGTATCTTTTTTTGTGTGGCTCAGTATCTGCAGGAACATACTGATTTCAAACAATGCTGAAAGGAATTGTGTCTGATGTTCTCGTAGGAATCTCAGACTTATAGCAAATGTAAATGTTATTTTGGTAAGCATTATTGAATTGCACATAGGGTAGCAGGGCGGTGGTGGCAAAGTCCATAGGGACTTGGCTTGGCAACTGGAAGGTGTTAGAAATTAAAATCAATGTTGATATGGCGTAATTTGAAATAAATACACTATTTAATTTAAATCAGTTTTATTCAGAAAAACCGGAAGTTCACACTAACTATTAACTTAATACTTTTATTCTGAAAAGTTTGCGTTTTCAAACCGTGAATCGAAGGTGAAATGACGTGATGTTGTACACTGAGCACACTGGGATTAGCAGTCATTTATTGACGCTGAATAATGTTTATTAGGGAATGTTTAAATAACCACAGACACCAGAATGATGTAATTTAGCTACAGAAAAAGGCAGGAATTGCATTGGACCCGCCCCCCGACGACGCCGGCCAATAGGAGAAGACCTCAGATGACAACAGGAAGAGCAAGCCAAGAATTGGGTTATGGCTAGAAAGGATCCGTCTTGTGTAAAACTCTCGCGAGAGTTTGGCTGAATGTCACGTGGCTGAATGTTTACGTTTGGCAGGCAGCCTTTCAGTTACGATCGTTAACATCAGTGGGCCACAGCAAATGATGATGAGAAGCTAAACTATCTATTAATTATGTCAATGACAGGGAGTGTGATTGTTGAAATAGGGTGTTAGCGGTCTTGCTGGTGTTCAAAGAAGAATGACAACACTGTAGATCACCAACACTGTGGTGTACACATTTCATTTGTACACCACCGCATCTTTTGTGTAATTAAATGCTGTTAACTTTTATAAGCTTCCCTTAACTCTTTTCAGTCTCTCCGGCTCTCAGGGTTCTAGAATTGCTAACAAAGGTCACCAGTCCCGGAAAGACCAAGTGTTACCGAGGTGTTCCTGAGCAAGGCACCGTTCCCTACACTGCTCCCCGGGCGCTGTACATAATGGCAGCCCACTGCTCCTAACACTAGGATGGGTCAAATGCAGAGAAACCGTTTTGTTACTAATAGCTGTACTACCTAATGACAATAAATTGAATCTTCAATCTACGTATTCATTGCATACATCACAATAAAGATTATAGCTCCTCATTTAACAATTCTGTTTTTCTGATCCAGCAAATGACCAGGGGTTGGTATTTATAGTATATAAAGGGGAGATGTTGACGGCAACGAGTAGGGGAATGGCAGTTATCTGAAGACAGAATATGAAAAAAAAATGTAAGGAAATGAAAAATGTGCATGGAGCAACAGGATTAGAAAAGAGTGATGTTTAAAGTCAAATGTCATGAAAACTAAGAGAAACACGCCTATCTCTAGTGTAGAGTTAACATCCTTATCTAAAATAACTGCCACATTTCATTGAGGGAGTTCATAGTGTATTTTAAATCATGGACAAGGTTCCACACAATTATAAAAAATAAAGAATGTTATGCAACCTTTTCAAAACATCTAAAATCCAGATTTAGCTGCTCGAAGAAAAGTGACAGTGGCTATGATTTTTAGGACATGAATTGAAAATTAAATGTTTTCATGTAAGGGGCCGGGTACAGTGTTGGAGACGATTTCAGTAAATGAGCTGCCAATTTGCCTAGTGACTGAAAAAAAGGGTCTCCTGCTCACGCCGTTTCTCACCTGGTTATAATCCTGTTATCTGTGCCTCCCTGCTCAGCCTCTGGCCCTGTCTCCTCCACACTTTGCCCGGCCAATCACACAGGAGCCATCTCAGAGTTAGCCAGAGACTGGAAGAGCCATGCTGAGCGGACATGGTGACTGTCACTTCAAATCAACAACTGAATAGAAAAATGCCATTTCTTTTGTAGTGGAAGCCTTTGGTTAGAAGAAATGAATCATTTCCATGCTGCTTGCAAAATTCTTAAGCGATTTCCAAATAGGGCAAATGCAGCAAACTATCTTTTAAAAAAGGCACCAGGCACGACCACAAACTTTTAGCACCCACTAAGTGCTCACATTAACAGCAAGCAATTTTAAAAAGTGTGAGTTAAGCAAGACGATGACAGACCCTCATGAGGTACAATTAAGGCATTAGTAAGACAGACTAATGGAGACATGTGGGACCTTCTCAACTTTATGAATTTCCCTTTATACATTTAGCTTTTTCTCCTAGCATTGTTTAACACATAAACAGGAGAACATCTGCCCATAAGTTATAAGAGGGTTTTTTCATGTAAATGGACATTTTACCAGCCGTCACAACGTTGGTGGTTTTGTTTCCGCCTTGTGAGTCTGTGTGTGTGTCATGATGGCAAAATGTGTTCTTAGAGACATCTAGTGTCGGGCAAACCAACACCGAAGCAATTTGAGGACAGATGTTTTAATTCACTGTCTTAATTTTATCATAGAGACAGCAATGCAACAACACTTTTTGGATAGTTGGGATCAAGATAAAAGGCAGAGTTGTAGATTTGATTGGGTAGGAAGTAGGGAATTGGTGGCCCCATCAACCTTTGGTGAATGGTCTTTAGTTTCACAGAAGATTTATGGGAAAACAGCAAACCTCTATTGATACTTGTTTAAACTTAAAGTGGACCTATCATGCTATATTTGAATAATATAGTGTAGGACCATACCTATATAAGGCATATTTATACTTTTTATTTTTCAAAATACCAAACAGATCATGCATTTTAGCCATTCCTCATTTCGCTCAATTTAACACTGTCTTTGCATGGGCTGATTCTGTGAGAACAGCACCATCTACAGGCCTGGCATATGTACTACAGCGTCTCCAGCGCTTTCCAACGGCAATGTCCGTGGCTGTCTCCTCCTGATTGGTGGAGTTGGCCCAATAGCCGTAGCGCCACTTCTGTGACGTCATAGAAGTGTTCAAATCTGGATCAGTCTGTATCAGATCCGTTGCAGCCCCTTTTTAAGAGATTTGGGTATGGAGGAAAATAGAGAGGGTTGTGTTTTCTGACACTTGGTGAGTTCCCTGGAACACCGGGGACACATGTTCATGTAGAAAAGACGTACACAAGTGCATTTTGCATGATAGGTCCCCTTTAAGTTGTTTATTTCTACTCCTTTTAATTTCTGCTCACGTGCAATGCCTTGTTTTTTATGCTGCTGCAACGCAAAACATGTCCCAATTCGGGATCTGATCTTATTTCGTCAAAATGTAGTAGAGTGGTGAGATTACAGATTACATGTCTCTGCCATTAATATGTAAATCAAGCAAGAAAGTGGGTTTAGTGTAAATACTGTTCACTTTTATCTGTATCTGGAAAGGAATTTCTAATTTATTTAGAATAATTTTGTGGTTTTTTCAACATTATTTTAGATTTTTCGTCGTACTTTGTTGAAACGCTAACTACATTTTGCGGATCATACTTACTTCATTTTGCTTGAGTTATCTGTCATCAGATAGCTTGCTTTGTCAGTTATTAAGTGTGTTGTAATAGCATGACAAAAGGAAAGTCACTTTGGAGAATCTGGAACTAAAAGAGAAATTAGTTTTATATTCTATTATAAAAATGAACAACGAGTAACTCAAACATTACNATGACATGGCGTTTCATCACGCAGTATCTGCCGGAAGCATCTCCCGCATGAGCAGGCATAAGCTCCGCCCCTCTTTTTAAAAAAGCTTTATACCCCAAATCAGCACTTTTGAAACAGGAAGTGAAATAAAGGGATATGAGGCATGGCTAGAATGGGTGATCTGTTTGGTATTTTGAGCAAAACACTTAAAATAAAAAAAATATTTGTATATATCTGAGACCTATGCTGTTGCCTAAACACAGCACGATAGGTGACCTTTAATAAACAATAAGCATGTTTATTGTCTTTTCCTAGGATCAAGATGGCTCCCACATCAAAGGCCTGCTCATCAACTTCTTCCACCACAACTGGCCGTCTCTGCTCAAACACACCTTCCTGGAGGAGTTCATCACCCCCATCGTCAAGGTAAGACACACCCACAATGCACCTGGGCCACTTCAGGAACCAAAGAGAGAGGTTCAGAGGCTGAGGGCGGGACTAATGGCGTTTGTGTGACACGCTTAAATAAGATCAAATGTAATGAAACGGACGGTTTATTATCACTTGTAGAAGGAAACAGTCTGTGTGATCCAGTTATCAAAAGTGGACACACACACACACACACACACACACACACACACACACACACACACACAGACTCTCTCCCTCTCCCTCTCTCTCTCTCTCTCTCTCTCTCCCTCCCTCTCTCTCCCTCTCCCTCTCGGCGGCCGATCGATCGGAGCATCCCTAATTGTTATTGTCTTTGTGTCTGCAGGTAAACAAGAGCAAGCAGGAGTTTGCCTTCTACAGCATCCCTGAGTTCGACGAGTGGAAGAAAAACACAGAGAACTTTAAAACCTGGCACATAAAGTACTACAAAGGTTTGAGACTCCACTATTTAATATATCTCTATTCACTTTGTGCAGGGACATTTGCATAAAGTCCCGTCCTTTTTACAAATATATATATTTAACTCTGTTCCAGGTTTGGGTACAAGTACAAGCAAAGAGGCAAAGGAGTATTTTGCGGACATGGAGAAACACCGCATCACTTTCAGATACATCGGAGCGGAGGACGACGCTGCCATCACTCTGGTGAGTTTCATGCTAACATTACATCCTGTTTTAACCTGTTAAGTCCGAGAGCCACCTGTACCGGGGGCTGTGTTTTTTTTTTTCACGAAACTGTGTCTCAGGGCTTCTTAACATTTAAAAACCTATTAATGTGTCATACCCACTTAACTGGAAGAAACTCAGCTAACTGACGATACGAACAATTTTTACCGAAACAAAGCACAAGTCTCACAAGAAGCGTCTAAATTAGCCCTGAGCGAAAAAATGCTAACACACTTAGCACAGAATAATAATAATAATCCTTATATTTATTATAGCGCTTTATCAATGACACATTATAGCGCTTTACAAATACACATTACATATACAGATCATACAGATCATACGTCATGTACTGTGGATAATACCCACAGGAGCACATTCGGGTGAAGTGTCTTGCCCAAGGACACAACTTAAGGCTTCTCTATAGCAGTGGAGCTGTTAAAGTCTACTAACTTTGAAGTTGCAAATTAATTATGGCAGTTCAACAGCTACCAAATCTAATTTAATACATGAAAAGAAATGTGAAAGTAGATTATTAGAAGAAATTTGAATATATGCTCATCAAGCTCATTATAACTTGTCAGAGTTTGTTCACAATACAATGTTTAAAAATGAGTGGCAATCTGTTGAAGGATGTTAACAAGCTTACAAAGCTGTACTTTCTTTCTGTTAACTATTAACAGTAAAGCAAGGTGTCAAATAAAAAAATAATTCACTGTGTATTATCACTTCCATGCAAAGTATAGCTGGCTTTGAATTTAGACTGTTTCCTCTGAATCAAATATCAAAAAGGAAAAAGAATGAGCCGCTGTGTTTAGTTCCCCTTTAGCATTAAGCAATTTAGCGATATGCTTTTACTTCGGTATTGTAGGACAAATCGGAGGATAGGCTAGGAATGGAATAGTACAAAGGAAATTCCAGCTTCCATTTTACTCAAGGGTCCTTACAAAGACTTGAAATCCCTTCAAACTTATGGCGCCTTGCTGCGATCTAACCTCTTTCTGCCCCTGCAAGATCAATAAAGTATCACCTTGTTTTCACATTGTATTGAAGGTGGACAGCTTTCAGTTTCCAGCAGTTAGGAGTTTAAGATGGAAGCTTCTAGAGGATTCTTGATCAGATAAGAAGTGCAGAGGAGAGAATTGGGGGGAGCCAAATCAACCATAAAACATTGCGGTGCAGCGGAGAAGAGACTTGGATTTGGACAAGGGGCTGTGAAAAGTGCAATCAAGTCTCTGGTTGAGGTGAGCTGGAGGACATCCGTCTGAAAACCCAACCGGGACTGAGTGCAGTGAGAGGAGTATAATCAGTGAGGTTACAAAAGTTTGTGGGAGAGTGGAGAAGGGTCATGGTTGGGGATAAGTGCTCAGAATGTCATCAACCTTTTCTTCAAACAAGCTGAAAAATACAGAGAAAAGGGGAAGTGGAGATAGAGAACAGCTTCCTGAAGGTACAAGCAGAGTGTGGAGTGCATGACTACCCATTGTGGACCACTGCAACAGCTTTTTCTACACATTTTCAAAAGTCATATTGTCTAAATCAGCGGTGCCCAACCTGTGGGCCCCCTAGTGGTCCGTGAAGGCATTGCAAGTGGGCCGCCAAATAATTTGCAAAACATTATGATGTGTGGAACCATTTCATTATTAAGATTTTTTTTTTATTTGAACCTCTTTTCCCTTTTCTCCTTAGCACTGGTCATTACAGTCCTTGACAGCGGTCTGTACTACAGGGCTAACAACGTGTCACATGTTCTGAATTGACCAATCAGAATCGAGTATTCAACTAAACCGTGTAATACAAATGTTTATTTGTTACTGATAGCCAGCTCCTTTTCTAATTAAAATAAAAAGTAGTCTGATAACTTTATTTAGCCTCCGTATTGTTTATGGTTGAATGTGGGCCACGAAACATTTTTAGATTCTTAAGTGGGCCCTGAGTTGAAAGAGGTTGGGAACCGCTGGTCTAAATGTAAGGTGGTGTTTGGTCACACTTGAAGGTGCTCAGGAAAACAATGTAGTTTCTAAGTGAAATGGTTTTAAATATGTTCAGTGCACCCAGCATTTGACGCTTTAGAAGTGGTGAATACATCGGTTCTGTCCCGCTCTTATTACTACCTTGCTGAATAACAATACAATATAGATGATAGTGTTATTCATTTGCCAACAGCTTGTCTTTGTATCATGCTTGAGTGTGTGCATGTGCGGGCACTTGCACATGCTTTGTAGGCACTTTTCAAAGAGTTTTCAAAATGCTTTATAGATACAGCTTGAAAGGAACTCAAAACATTATATCTACTGAAAGAAAAAAAAAATGAAACTTAAGTACAAACATCTGTGGGGGGGAGAGCAGTACAAAAGAACCAGGCAAGCATATTCATATATTCAAAAACAAGGCTGTAAATGTGTGCTTTACATTGTACTTATGTGATGCCGGTGATTCTTTTATTTCATTTGCCAAAAGGGTTTCCTGAGCTAGTTAGTGTTTGGACTCAGAAGCTGATAGCTATAATGAATGTGGACTGATGCATGTCTAACCCAGGTTAAATCTAAATATCAGTGAATATCTAATAGATGACTGAGAATTTGATGATTAGTAGTTATACATTTCAATGCATTTCTCACTGTAATTATGATGACGATTTTAAGAATAATACATGAGGCTCTGCATCCCACATAACAGTAAGAACTGAAGGTTTAGAACCTTTTAATTTAAAGGTCTTATTGCACCAGAAGATCCGGTCATTTATCAAGGGATTTCAGTGCTAACTGGCTGCTATTTCATTTACCAGCCCTTAACTTGTGAAACTTCTCTGAAATAGCATTCTTTGAAATAAGATAAACTAAGAAATGGCATGGAGGCTAGACATAAAGTCTTCTTTAAAGACTTAATATGAAAAAAAGCCTTTGTAGTGGACAGAGCCACTACGAGTTCAATATATTCTTGAAAAAGCCAAGGCCTCTAAATGTGACATGATGGCAGACAAGTGCAGAATGGAGAACTGAGGCAATAAATGTTCAAATAAACAGCAATATTATGGTCTCACTGTGCATTACTGTGCCCAAAGGATGCGTAGGTTTGTAGAGTGAAAGAAGAGGTAGTGGACAGAGTAGGCTATTTACAGATGCAATGCCCACACAGTGTATTTCCATCTCTTGCTGGGGTAGTGTTTTCATGCTTCAGATTTTGACGTGGCAGCTGTGCTTTTATTGGCGTGATTCTGGCAATAAGCGGGGGCTTCCAACTCAGTTCTCCAAAAGCCAGTGCTGAGAGGTTCATGGACTGTCCTGAGGGGCCTTCTGACACCATGTGGGGAGTAAGGAGGGAGTGTGCAGGGGGGTGATAGGAGACTGGACTGACACCAGGGGCTGACAGCAGGACTAAAACCACTGACTCTCTACCTGTCATATGCAAACAAATGCACATATGCACACACAGAGGAGGCTGAACGGAGGGCAAAGCCTGGGGGTCTCAGTAGGAAATCTATCGTTGGAAAGATAGATTTCAAAGTGGGGGCACTGCTCTCTCTCTCTCTCTCTCTCTCTTTACAGATTCCCTTCTCTACTCCTTCTTCTTCATCCCTTTCTAGCACTGCAAGTTGGAAAAATGACCTAATGCAAATGTCAGCTAAACACACACACATACACACACACACACTACTGTATATGCAAGAGGTGGAAACCTGCATGTTATTTTTGTAAACTTCTCTATACAGGGCAAGTATTTAAGGAAAATCACAATGTAGGACATAAGGTATCACCATAGCTATATTATAAGGATAAGCATGTTTTCTGTGAAATCATCAGAAAAATGGTCTATATAAAAAACACTTTAAAAAGCCTATTTAGTACTCCTGTGTAAATGAACTACTACTATTTTCTTATTTGTTTTAACTATAGTGCAAAATGAACAACAAGTGAAATACTATAAATAGCCTATATACCGGGAATACGGATACAATTATATAAAAAATACATTTTGATATCCCTTGATGATATACATATGCCATATCGCCCAGCACTATATCTTAATTACACAACACATTCTATAGTCGGTGGTGTAACTAACCCCTCAGAGTAAGCACACACTATCACAGTTTAAATGAATGTCTGTGGTGGTGCCACGACCAAAAAGATGGCGAAAGTTAAAAGTTAAAACCGAACCATCGGTGTGCACAGATGACAAAACAAACAGGGTCATGTAGAAAAAAGAAAACAGACATCCTATTCTTGATCATGTCGTTGACACAGACCTCGCACAAGCACACACACTTATGCGAGAAATCCTAATTATAGCCTTTAACAATAACAATGGCAGCTCTCTAATTGCCAATTAACTCAGGGTCACTGCTGTTATCTCCCCATCGCAGCAGCCTCTGTGCTTTGCCCCCTACTCCTCTTCCAGGAAAAGAGGGAGCTTTACTCCATCCCTTGCTTATTCACCTCCTGTGGGCAGACCCAAACCAAAGCTGTGTTTAATTTGTTGTAGTTCTTTTGAAAAAGCTGTGAAAATAGCAAGGGACATGACAATAACTAAATGGTTATCTTTTGTGTCACCACTACAGAATTGTCTGAGCTCCTGCTTGCCCCGGCTGGTCTGCATTCTGCTCCACTGCCACTAAATCAACTAAACCTTCTCCAAAGAACACACACACACACACACACACACACACACACACACACACACACACACACACACACACACACACACACACACACACACACACACACACACAGACTAAGCCACTTAATCACAGAGAGCAAATGTGACAGGATAGCTAATCTAACTGTAAACACATTTGCAGTTAATCCTGAAACAGAAAAGGCCCTTTGAAAATACAAAATAGTAATGGGAGGGAAAAAACAAATTCATCTCTAGAGAGACAGAGAGCTTGAGGTGAGAGAATGGATGTTTAATTCAAAATAACCCAAACTCACAATTTTAAACTTGCCGATACACACATGAACAAACACGTAAAGCTGTGTGTTCAGTTACCTGTGCCCTTATCACCACCCCCCCCCCC